CCAGATTGTTCTTCCTGAGGACACGCAGGAAGTGTAGCCGCTGCTGAGCCTTCTTAACCAGGGCCCTGATGTTGTAGGTCCATATGTGGTCAGAAGAGATGTGGATGCCCAGAAACCTGAAGGTGGTGACAATTTCCACCCGATCTCCATTTATGAGGAGGGGAGTGTAGTCCTGTCTGTGCTTCCTGAAATCCAGAATTAGTTCTTTTGTTTTTAGGATATTCAGGGTCAGGTTATTGTCTGAGCACCAACGCGACAGATCCTTCACCTCTGCCCTTTACGCTGTCTCATCCCCGTCGAAGATACATCCAACCACTGTGGTGTCATCCGCATATTTTATTATGTGGTTGGTTGGGTGGCTTGGTGAGCAGTCATGAGTGTATAGTGCATACAGCAGAGGGCTCAGAACGCAGCCTTGAGGAGAACCAGTGCTGAGTGTGAGTGTGGAGGAGTGGTGTGGGCCAAGTCTCACAGATTGTGGGCGGTTAGAAAGAAAATTTTTTATCCAGATGCAGGTGGTGAGGGGGATCTGTAGCTCTATCAGTTTACTGTGAAGAATGTCTGGAATGATTGTGTTGAAAGCTGAGCTGTAGTCCACGAAGAGCATCCTCACATAACTCTTCTTGTTTTCCAGGTGGCTCAGCGCTGTGTGAAGTGTGAGTGCGATGGCATCCTCTATGGACCTGTTCGCCCTATAAGCAAACTGGTAGGGGTCGAAGGAGGGAGGGAGACAGTCTCTAATGTGCTGAGAGACTAATTGCTCCAGGCACTTCATGATTATCGACGTAAGGGCGATGGGTCTGTAATCATTCAAACTGTCTATGGCAGGTTTTTTGGGAATGGGGATGATGGTAGAGGCCTTCAGACATGTGGGAACGATGGCATGTGTCAGGGAGAGATTGAACAGTTTGGTGAGGATCCCTGTCAGCTGGTCTGCACATGCTTTAACCACCGCTCCCGGGATGCCGTCCGGACCAGCAGCTTTCCTGGGGTTCACTGCTCTCAGTTTCTTCCTCACCTCGTGCTCCTGAAGCGAGAGAGGTAGAGTGCTGGAGCCGATGGAAGACAGTGATTGCAGGTGTGTGGTGGTGGTGGTGGTGGTCTCGAACCGGGCAAAGAAGCTGTTTAGCTCCTCTGCCAGGGTGCTGCTGCTGGAAGATGTGGGAGGGGGGCGGCCTTTATAGTTGGTTAGGGCCTGTATGCCCCTCCACATCTGTCGCGGGTTGTTGTCGACCAGATGTCCCTCTACTTTCCTCTTGTAGCAGTCCTTTGCCTGTTTAATGCCCCTCCTCAGGTCAGCTCTGGCAATGCTGTAGAGAGCTCTGTCTCCCGTCTCTAGGGAGGGGGCGAGAGGGGCACCTCAGCTGATGAGGGCAGAAGGGCAGTGGCTCTAGCCACCGGGCCACCCCCCTGTGCACGGCCCTGCCCAGTGGGATCTTCAGATGGTGCTTAACAGCCTGCGTTGACCACCTTATGAACCACTTGAACAAGCTGATATTAAGAGTCTTTCGATGAAGACTGCTTTTCTCTTGGCTATAACGTCAACCAGAAGAGTAGGTGAGCTTCATGCTCTCTCTTTGAGTCCACAGTGTCTCAGATGGGGGCCCGAGTACAATCAGGTTACGCTCTGGCCGAATCCAGCTTTCCGACCTAAAGTGTTGTCTGACCGCTTTGTGAACCAGCCCATTCAGCTTGCGGCATTTAATCAAGAGGCTTCCCAGACAGCTGTGTGTCCAGTGAGAGTATTGCGACAGTATGTGTTGAAGACTGCTTCATGGCGCACCACTGATCAGCTGTTTGTCCGTTTTGATGCCTGTCAGAGGGGCTCACCCTTGTCGAAGCAAAGGTTGTCTCATTGGGTGGTGGATACCATTATACAGGCATATGATTCGGCTGGTCAGACAGTTCCAGCATCTATTAAATGCCATTCAACCCGATCAGTGGCTACTTCTTGGGCAGCACTACGGGGAGTGCCCCTTTCTGATATATGTGCAGCGGCTACATGGTCGTCACCTTGCACGTTCACAAGATTCTACAGGATTAATGTGGCACCTATTCCTTTGGTCAGTTCTGCTGTGTTAGCGGACAGTATCTAGGTAAGCGGCCCTCGTGACTTGGTTGTATTCGTCTTCCACTATGTTCGACCGTCTCTGGCGGTCTGTAACAGTGAAATAGAACGCCGGTTACTGGTGTAACCTTGGTTCTATGAATAGTGGAAGACCGCCAGAGTCTCTGGTCACTCGGACTGAGAATGACTGCAGAGAACGACCGTGACGTTAACGGAGCGGATATAGCTGCTGACACGTCATCGGTCAGGGTCACAGGTGACAAATCAATGCGAGATTCTCGATATGGCTCGCGAGACGCGACTCCTTCCACTATGTTCGACCGTCTCTGGCGGTCTTCCACTATTCATAGAACCAAGGTTACACCAGTAACCGGCGTTCCCTGTCTTGTCCATTAGTTATCCCAGGTGTTTCTTGTTAACCACGCCCCCTTGTTATCCTGTCTAGCTCGTTTGTCCCTTATTATTTAAGCCCTGTGTTTCTGCCCTGTCTTTGTGAGTTGTTGAATGTATGTTCTGTTCCAGGATTAACGTGAGTGTTGGTTGTTCCTGTGTAAAGATTCCTGTTCCAAGTTCTGAGTCTCTGTTTAAGTTTATAGTTTGTTTAAATAAAGCGTGTACAGTGCGTTTGGATCCAGCCTCCTCTCTGCCTTCACCGCATCACGTTACAGATCATCACAACAAGCATGTGTGTGTATTTATATATATAAAATAATTATACACAGTGCACCCACATATATTCTGTAAAAAAAACTTTTATTTTGGATGTGATTAATCACGATTAATCATTTGACAGCCCTATTAAATACACATACTTTATCTGTTTGATTATTGATTGATTATACCAACAACTTTTTCCCCTGCCTGCTGATAGTCATCAGGGGAAATATATTGATTTGAAATGTAATGAAAATTTGATTTCTCAATTCATGAGCCCTTTAAAGTAAATCTAATCCCTTGACAGTATGCATGCTTCTGGGGAATTTACCAGTTTGTACCAATGAGTATTTGCAAAAAGCAAATGAAGTCTGCCCTTGTGTTTTTCTCAAATCAATATAAAATCACAATATAAAAAATCACAACATTCTAAACCACTGAATGTGGGAAATCAAGTGAACAAAATACATTTTTATTAGGAATGTCATTATACGTTGCAATGACAACTAAGAGTTTGTGGAGCGTGTCTAAAGGCTGTAATGTAGGCCTATCACTAAAGGAGCTGATGTAGAAGGCGAACAATGTGCCGTTGAATTATTGCAGTCTGATTGCAAATAAACCACAGCACAGAATCAGTTCAACTGTCAGTTTTGTTATGGCAAGATATTTCATGTTTCTCCTTTTTTGTTTCTGCTGCTTTCAACAGTGACAGGACAAAGCGAGCATACAGTAGAAAGACGGTTCAAAACACAAAGGCACGAGGAAGAATGAAATCAAAGGACACATTAACTGTGGTTTTACAAACCAGACATACATGCTCATCTGTGTGTGTTTACAGTATAATAATGTACACTCTTGTATTTGCCTATCTGCCGGTCTATATCTATACCATACAGGTTTACTCTTTCAGAGAGGTAGACTTTTTTAGAAGCATAACATTCCTTACTCAAACCCAGAGGTTTATTCTTTATCATTCTATTTTGTCTGTGATGGATATGCAATATCTATATAGCTTCCCAAGGGCCTTTTACCTCAAGTGTGGGGTGAAAGACCCTATTATCTGCATTTATGTTAACATGATTTGTAATAAAAAAGAGACTAATTTTACCATTTCTTTTCATAGTTTTGCTCCACCACTATTCAATAAAAATGTATGTTTTTGATCATTGTACACTCAAATACTGTAACCAAACATTTATAATGTGTGATATACTGTAGTTTTTAAATTCTCAATTAATTCTCAGTCATATCAAGGTGTTTAAATGTCTCCACTAGACACCAGTATTGTCCACTAAATGGAGTACAAAATGTAAGTGCAGAAGGAGCATATTATGAAGGTAAGCAAGACTACATAATCATGAATTATTGGGTCATCAGTGCATTTAATGTCATTATAATGTTGACATATAAAGGTAATTGGAGGGAGGAGTACTTTCTCAAACCAAAACAAATTAAAACATTTCACAAGAATAGATTTGTCAGGTTTTTTTTATTATAAAACAATAGATATGTTGTTCAAATACATTTAAATATACATTTTTGGTTGTCAGACTCATATCCATAGTTGATGTCATGAATCTAAAAAAATCAGCAGTTCATGACATATTAGCTAGATATGGTTGCAATATGGTTCTGTACTTCCTACTTACAGACTTTCACATACACAAAGAAACTATTATTTATTATGCATGCTTATAATAGCAGAAGGCTTATAAAAGGCATTTGCTATTCAATGGTTTATACAGCACAATTGTACTGTCTGCTGTACTGTATAATTCATGCTTGAAATGTACATTACATTTTGTCTTCCATTGTTTAAATTCATTAAATGTATTCAGTTTTTAGTTCACGGTTTATAATATGATATAACATTTTTAATATGTACAATTCTAAAATTCTAACCCAATTTTGGTGAATCTTTCAAGCAGACATTGGCAGAAGCTCTAATTCACACTGTCCCCTGATTGTTTTTTGGGTAACTGTATGAAACTGAGTTTTCCAACATTATTAATCCATTTAGATGCAAACATGCAGTGCCTTAATGCAAGAAACTTGAAATGTTTTGAAATACATCTATTTGTCTCTAATGTCTAAAGGAAAGAAAGAAGGAAATGGAATTAATATCTCCTCATTCCAGTTTTTCCTATGCAAATGAAACTAATCTTAAATTACTTCCACGGATAGGCAGACTGACAGATGGATGGACAGAAAGACAGACGCGTAGTATTAGTCATTCAATACACCCTAGAATTTTTGAGTCATATAAGCCTAGTATCTTCTGATTTCTGTAACTGTTATGCTAAACTCACGATCAAGCTGTTTCTACATTTAAGGATCCTTCAGTCGTGCTCATCTTTGATAGTAAGGTCATCTTTGTCCTGGATTCTGAGGAGGACTCTGAATCAGACCTAGAACACCTTAGAGCCTCCTTTAACCTATTTCTGAAATCCTTAGACACATAATAAAAGATGAAAGGATCGATGCAGCTGTTGAAGGTGCTGAGAGACAAAGTGATCAGGTACGGAACATAAAGGTCATCATTGGCGAAGTCCGATTTGGAGTAATGCAACAGCAAGAGAACGTTGCTAGGCAATAAGCAAACAATAAAAACCATCAACATTAGCACAGTTACTCTAACTGCATGGGCAAAATGCTGGCCTTCAGCCATAAGGGTGCGTAACACTGCAGAATAGCAGAACAGCACAACCAACAGTGGAAGCAGAAAGCAGAGGGAGAAGAGAGTAGCAAAGTACGGCAGGAAGTACGTTTCCTGCTCTTCTAAAGGCAGTGCATCATGGCAGGTTGTTATTGAAAGATTCTTTATGTTATAAGACTGTTTTGAGGCTAACAAGGGCACAGCCGCAGCTACAACTACTATCCAAACCAAAACACTCATATAGATTGAGTTCTTGTTACTACGAAGTGTCTTGGCATCAAAAGGGTGAACGAGAGCTACATAGCGATCCACAGCGATCAGTGCCAGACATACCACTGAGCCGTACATGTTTCCATAGATGAGCGCAATTACAATTCGACAGAATGGTTCTCCAAATGTCCAGTTGTTGCCTAGGAAGTGGTAGACAATACGAAAGGGGAGCACCAGCAGTAGCAGAAGATCACAGGTGGTGAGGTTGATCAGCAGAATGGTGGAAGGGAGCTTTTTGGTTCGCAGGACCAGCAACCAGAGGGCTAATGTGTTTGTGGGAAGCCCGATGGAAAAGGCTAAGAGGCAGATAAGAGGAACCACTAGTTTAATCCTGTAGCTCTGGATCTGCTCCTTATGCTGGTCTAGAAGTGTATCATTAAACACAACAAGGCTCCTCCCCTCTGAGAGACAGAATAACAGAAAATACTTACTCATTTAATTGCAATATACAGTAGGTCAACCCAGAAAGCAATCACAAGCATAACTACTAAGTGAATGCTATGTGCAGTCCAGTCAAATAGACATTATTGGTTCGAACACTCGGTTTAAAAGGAGAGTTCACCCAGAAAATATAAATTCTGTCATCATTTACTCACCCTCAAGTTGTTTCTTAACACAAAAGAAGATAGTTTAAAGAATGTGGGAAACTATAGAAGTCAATGGGGACCAGAAACTGATTGCTACTAACTCTTTAGAATATCTTCTTTTGTGTTCAACAGAACAAATAAACTCAAACAGGTTTAGAACGACTTGAGAGTGAGTAAGTGATGACAGAATTGATATATTGGGTGAACTGTTCCCTCAAGTTTTATATATTATTCAGTTTAATCTGATGCAGCCTACTGCACCGGTATTGCAAGAATATGATACAATCTAGATGTGTTATGACTAAATGTGATTGAATCTCATGTATGTGCATGCTGCACCACACATTTACACCCTGCCCACATTTTTTTTTTTAAATATGCTGTGTTGACCTATATCTTTTGTGAAAAATCAGGACAAAATTTCAGTAATAATGACGCTTATTTAGTATTTAGATTACTGTATACATAATATTTTCTGTTAACCTATATTTTTGACAGAAAGGTCAACACACCAAAGTCACAGACACTCAAAACACAATGTTAATCTTAAAGTTAATAATATAATTAGAAAAGACTTACGGGGAACACTTCTGTTGGAGCTTTTCACCTCTAAAGCTGAAGAGATGTGAAGAAAAGTGAGAAGGAGATGGAGAAAAAGCAATCGAGAAATTACAAAAAATGTCATTGTGCTGAAAAACTTGTCTTTGTGTAAAAGTTTTAAGTATTTAAGGCTAAACGATAGGCCTATCTCTTTCCTCCCTTTAGTTTGGTCTCAAGTTCTATTGAAAAGTTTTTCAGGTTGTAGATACCGGTACACTCTCCTCTCTTTACCGGTTCTTTTTTTTCAGCGTGTGTCACTGTTAAAAAAATAAATAAAAGAAAGCTGTTTCAAAAATTTTGCTTTCTTGGGGGATTTCTCACCCCGCCTCCTCTTGAGTTTAGACCAATCAATGAGTTTCTCTCCGTTGTTCCTATCTCTGTTTCTGAAGATAATAAACAGATGTGATCTTCTGTTTACACGTTTCCCTCCTGCTCTAACTCATATGGGAATAGTTTAGGTTGTTTGAGAAAAGAAATCTTTTTTTTTTTCCTTTTAGATAGAAAACTATTACAATTTCATATGTTTAGTATTTAAAACCAAATGGTTTAATGGTGATAGTGTTAGTGATGTAAAGAAGTCTAGAGATGCCTGCATTTGTTAAGCCATTTAGTGGACAATGTTAGTGAAACAGTATAACAATTCAGAAATGTCTTACGTCTTACCCATGACAGCACCACTGTACTAAACAGGAAGAGATAGAATCGTACTGGGAGGAAATGAAAGAGTATGCAATGGAAATAATGGGGGTTGTTGGTAAAAAGAAGAAGGCCTACTTTACCCACAACAAGGGGGGGGGAATTAGGTTAATTTTATAATAACTTCCATTAATAACAATAAGAAAGATTGTTGCATGGTACAAATTCATTGTACATTCAAAGTTATTAATTCCTCGTTTGTTTTTAATGACTTTTTAATGACTAAAGATTTGCTTTAGTCATTAGTCATCTAAAAAAAACGCAATAATTACAGCAATTTTCTGTTCAAGTGTATGCATGAATCCCCCCATACCACTAAAGAACCTTTATTTTTAAGAGTGTAGATGTAGACAGTGAGCTCTAGAGGGCGCAATGGTTGCACTCTTGACCTGCATTAACATCATATAGTTCAGACGTTATTCAAGTGCCTTGTTTACTCTTATGCAACTCAACTGTTAGTTTCAGTTTTCCATCGTATCGATCATGTCTGAGCATGTCATGTATCATGTCTGTACATCAGCTGTATTCACTATCACAGTCTTACAGCAACCCTGCATTGTTCTCAAGTTGGAATGAGAATGCAAAATAGAGTAAAACATTTTTATTTAAGAATAGGTCGAGAAATATATAGAGAAATGTACTGGGTTAATGAATAAAAATGCTGAACCATTCCCTGATGCTGAAGAAACATCAATTTCATTTTCACCAATTTCATAAGTAGCTAGGCTATAAAGTGGAAAACAATCTTAATGTAATACATAACGTAATCTGTATATGCAGGAAGAAGACTTTCCTTATTAATGGAAACATTAAAGATAAAAATAAATAATTTTTAAATATACATTTCAGGGGAAATTCTGTAGGATATATGCTTGATTTAAAAGCTGGCTAATAGTTGGACTTGATGGAATGACACTGAACAACAAGGTTTGTTTTTATGATTTATTGTAATGTAGGATTATTTGTCCTCCACTAGAGAGAGCCAGAGATCCGATGAGTGATAATTATATTCAGTGGTTCGGCTAAAAACCGATCTCTACAATTATTAGGCTTCACAAGAAATTGTGTACTAGTGGGCAGTTAAAGGTAATTGTTTAAAGGTGAACATATAGGACAATAAAGAGGAAAATAATGATGGATTCATATCTCCTGCTGTTTGTCAAGATTACAGAAGAATTTGTTTGTTATATATTAAAGAAAATAAAAGAAAAGAAAAGAAAAGAAAAGAAAAGAAAAGAAAAGAAAAGAAAAGAAAAGAAAAGAAAAGAAAAGACCCATCATAAACTGTGAGTTGGATGTTGTCCAGTGCACCTTCATACCGTATATGCAGCCAGTGCCAATGTTCTGCAGGGCACCATAATTTAACAAATTGATTCACAAATTGTTTCCAGTGAGCACATATTATACTTAATGAAACAATATCTGCAAACAATAACGTGACACAAGTTAATATATAATGCAACTTAGGTAACTAATAGGCTTATATATATATATATATATATATATATATATATATATATATATATATATATATATATATATATATATATATATATATATACTAAGTATAATATATATACCGGTAAACCAGTTAAAAGTTTTGGATCTGTAAGATTTTTAATGTTTTTAAAAGAAGTCTCTTCTGCTCACCAAGGCTACATTTATTTGATTTAAAATACAAAAAAATGTAATATTGTAAAATATTAATACAATTTAAAACAGCTTTTTTCCTATGTGAATTTATAGTAAAATGTAATTTACTCCTGTGATCAAAGTTGAATTTTCAGCATCATTACTCCAGTCTACAGTGTCACATGATTATAGAAATCATTCTAATATGATGATTTGATGCTCAAAAAACATTCATTATTATTATAAATGTTGAAAACAGTTGTGTACAATTTTTTTCAGGATTCTTTGATTAATAGAAAGTTCAAAACAGCATTTATTTGAAATAGAATCTTTTGTAACATTATAAATGTCTTTACTGTAACTTTTGATCAATTTAACTCATCCTTGATGAATGAAAGTATTGATTTCTTTTATTTCTTTCCCCCAAAAAATCAAATCAAAATTCTTACTGACCCTAAGCTTTTGAACGGTATGTTACAGATTTCAATTTCAGATAAATGCTGTTCTTTTGAACTTTCTATTCATCAAATAATCCTGAAATGAAAATGTAAAAAAACTGTTTTCAACATTGATAATAATGAGAAATGTTTCTTGAGCAACATTTTTCAATAAGGATTCATTTATTAACAATTGGGCTAACTACATTAGTTAACAATAACCAAGATTAATAAATTCTGTAGAAGTTTGTTAGTTCAAGAAATTTCAACAATTACAAATACATTTAAAAAAAAAAGTTGTATCTGTTAATGCACTTTGAACTAACATAAATAAACAATAAATAATTGCATTTTTATTAACTAAAACATTAAACACAAAAAAATATTGCTTATTGTTGGTTTATGTTAAAACTAATGCATTAATGTTAACAAATGAGACCTTATAAAGTGTTACCGTTAGGCTACTTATTTATAATTGTGCTCTGGGTTTTCACAAGAGTAGCCGCTGAGATGTATGTCAATGTATGTACAAGAGAATGATTCATCTTTACAGAACAAAGGCTACATTAACAGCATACCTTTATATGATGCTATCAAATATGGAAGTTGCCTCTGTATTATTATGACATCATCGGTAATGTAGCCTATTATGCTTTACATTCATCATTGTTTACATGCTTACATAAACAGCATCTTTCAGATGAGCAAACTGAAATAAAACAGCTCTGGTCATGCAATGTAAAAAATGTAAAAAATATTTTTTATGTTTTCTCTCTTTTCTTTAATCTTTGACTGAAAATTTCTTTGTAAAATCTAGACCCGTAAAATAAAAAAATTACGGCCTCGAAGGCTGCCACTTCTATTAAATGGGTGATTATTAAGGCCCAGCATACGCATTTTGAGATGATGGTGATGTGGCCCTGTCCTCCCCTCCCACTGATCTGATCTCACCGTGTTGGAGAGACACGCTGATTCGCGCATGCGCATACGCGTACGACTCAGTGTTCGCGACCAGGAAAAAAGCAGAACAGCAACACATTGGTCTGCCTATGGCCGAACGAGCCACGGCTCTGAGAAATATTACAACAAAGAGAGAGTTTGACTTAAAATAATACAGGTGGAAGCGACCGAGCAGGTAAGATAGGCTATCTCGCAATAACCCTTTTTTTACTGAATGAAAATCTCAGCGCCTGAGGGAAGGAGTTTTTGTTTCATAGCTGTCCCTGTCAGGGCTGGTTGCACGAACAAAGCAGTCCTGACACCAGAAGAGACACATTTGTTGCCCTTTAACAGTCGTTAAATGCCAATTTACTAGTTATAGGGCCTGTAGACGAGCCTACTTAACGGCCTTTAATAAAAGCAAACTGTGTTTATCATACGGACTCAAGCCTCTAATTAAATCTACGCGTTTTGTTGCCATTGCAGAGTCAGTAACGTTACCGTCGACTAATCTATTTACCCTTTCTTTCTGTCAGGGGAAGCCACGCATGGCTCACCATATGGACGTTGTGTCTTGAGAGGAGGACAGTATGTTTACATGAGGGCTCTTGAGACAGAGCGCTGACCGTTGAAAGAATCGCAGAGTCGGGTTGCGTTGATCGGTGAAGACATTGCCGAAGATGCTGAAGAGATTGGCCGCGCCGGCGTCATGCAGCAGCTGCCTTCTCGCCTTCCTCCTTGCCTTCGTCTCGCCCAGGTGTACGCAGTCTATCGGTGCCGACAAAACTATGGTGAACAAGGAGGATTATTATAGCGCCACAGTCAACGCCACCGTTTTGGACCATAAAGGCAATCCTCAACATTTAGTGACGAAGAATGACGGGCGGTACGGGCAGAATTCTCCTAAAACAGAGGCGAAGGGGATTGTGATCGCACCTGCTGCTGTCAATGGGGGTGAGTGTGTATGTGCATTGATATTTTAAGGTGTCATCATCTCAGGTGTTCAAAAATATTCCACCAGAACAGATGCTCCGTCTCTTCACTTATCAAGGTTATCATCAATAACTGTCTCCTAAATAATAATCATTTTGGGGGGTGGGAGCATCTTAAAGCAACCTAAGATGGTTTGATATTGTACGCATGTGTTCCTGGTTTGCTTTATTGCGTCACCTTTTCAAATATGTTCAAATCCATTATGCTTTATGAAAGAGAACTATTTTGGAAGTCATTATGGACTTGCAGATCAGAAGCTTCCTGTGATATTTGTCAACTTCACATGTGTCATGTCATTTCCTCTATACTGTGTGGAGTTTGCACAACAGAGTAACATGATGTTGAATATTTACTACTTCATATAAATTATTATGATACTTTTTTTTACTTCACTTGATTGAGATTGTTACCCTTTCAGCTACCTATGTATACCACTCTATTCTGGTGTCCTGTTTTGGCTGATTCTCCTGCAATGATGACTCCGTAAACACCCTTCGTAAGATATACTTGCATAACCTCCCCTGAAGAGGCCCTGCACCGCTGTGTGCTCTGTTCTGAAAATTCAGTGACGTAGGGGATAAGGGACACAAGTGTGACTTGCTTTGTTTGCAATAACAGTAATACCATCCCTTGCCCTCATCTGCACTAAATTAGGAGCTCTTGTGTCTCAGAGCATATGTTAGGTTCCCTGCTTTGACGCCAACCTGTGTTGCACAATTGCTTTAGAAACTTGTTCAATCACAGTATCATGCATAGCCTACTTGTAACCCCAAAGTTGCTTTTTGCAGTGCCATGACTGCTGTCTGTGGATTGTCTTTATCAACAATCTCCCATTTGTTTTTCAGCTGCCAAGTTTTAGGTAAATTCATCTCATCTCCTTCACACTTGTTATTCAAAATTCTGCTGAATCATTTAGTTTTTGCTAAATCTTCCTGTATGTATTGAATGGCTTAAGAGAAGTGCAGTATCTATAATCATTTTTAAGCTGGCTGGTGTCGTCTTCCGGTGTTCGGATGTGTCTCTCTCTCTCTCTCTCTCTCTCTCTCTCTCTCTCTCTCTCTCTCTCTCTCTCTCTCTCTCTCTCTCTCTCTCTCTCTCTCTCTCTCTCTCTCTCTCTCTCTCTCTCTCTCTCTCTCTCTCTCTCTCTCTCTCTCTCTCTCTCTCTCTCTCTCTCTCTCTCTCCCAGTTGTTCTCTTATACTGTGCTTGTTCAGGTTACAGGATGCTCAGAATTCACCAGAAATCCTTGAGACTGAGATTCTCTGTAAATCAATTATTAATCAATATTTATTATAGCACCATTAGAATGCTTATTGAGGTGCAGGGCACTTTGACTTGGTTTAGTGCCATTGTGGTAAGATTAAAGAAGATGAATATGTCAATGGCAACCGTTGTAGTCAAGGGATCTTTACTGCTGATCACATATTTTAAGTTCTGTTTTCAAGCCTTGTTTTTGTTGACTTCAGCAGGGCAATTTTCTAAGTCTCGTGTCCAACCCTCATTGTACCAATTTTCTTGTTAGTTAACCTTGTGTTGAATTGACCCAGAGCAGTTGTCTGACCTGCTGGTCATTATTCCAGTGAACCCAGTGGAGGTCATTAATCCTGATCCAGTCAGGAGCTGGAAAAGGGACACCAGGCTCTATATTTAATATGAAATATGTTCTCAAGGACATTAGCACATCCATTCCCCTGTTTGCGGCGAGGGAAGAAAGACAATAGCCAAAGGAGACATTCTATCATTTAAGAGTAAATTTGGACAGTAAATCCAAAGCTAAACTTCCACAAGCTATTCTGCTTCTTTTATTGCCATCTCAATTGGATCTGAGGCAAGGTAATGATTCTCAGTAGAAGATTCTGTATAAAGAGAGCAGAGTACTGACATAAAACAGTAACACCCACTTCCTCTGTTACTCTAATCACTGTCAGGATTAGGGATTGTAACATTTAATCGACAGTTGATTAATTGTCCATCATAATTTAATCGATAAAACGTATCGATGGCAGATTAAGCAGGGTTATATCATTAGAGTGTTTAAGCCGCCTTTCCACTGCACACCACATTCGCATATGATTGTCGCATTTCGTCCCCCTAGCGGCAGTCGCGCGAAACTTTGAAATTGGTCGTGAAGCAACCGTGCCCTCGGCTTATTCACCATGGTAAAATGAATGTCATGCATGTATGAATATATCCACACAAAACAATGACCCTCAATACATCTAAAATAAAAACAGTAGATTTTATAGAGCTAATCAACATAAATATTGATTTAATAATTATAAAGTAACTATTTCTGCCATAATTATTATTAACCGCCATTTTGCAGAAATAGTGTTTACAGAATAACTTTAAAGTGTTAAAATATTTGTAATTCTAGCTTCGCGCTCATAGTTCTGATTAGAATACATCACATCCGGTCGGCCGGTCGCATATGGTCTAGCTGCAGAAGTTCAAATATTTAAACGCATCTGAAATTTTCGCATACCCTTATGATCGGACCTCCACGCAGCTCCCATACTACTCTCCATTGGAAATTAATGACTTCCGGTCCAACGGCTGTCGTTTGTCTTGTGCAGTGGAAAGGCAGCTTTAGTTTTGAGGTGCATGCGGCTCATGCGCAAAACGCGTGCAGCAGTACAGCGTGCCGTGGTCACCAAGGGGTAATCCATCAGCCGGAAGTTGAAGCTGCCTCCGGGGGCCGCCATTGTAGCTGGCTATCACCTGCTGTTAGCATCCCATTGACTCCCATTCATTTTGGCGTCACTTTGACAGCGAATAACTTTACATCTGAGGCGTCCAAAGACTCCATTTGTCCATTATTTATTTCTAAAGAAACACGACAATGTATAAAAGGCTCCATTACTTTGTATCTTACGTTATGGCCCCGTAGAAGCCATTCTTGTAAAAATAGGCTAACGATTGCGTCATAACCACGGGACGCTCGGTCGCACAGTAGAGAAATTACCGTATAGACAGAAGTAGAAGCTCGTAGGCAATCGTTTACTGTCTATGAGGCAATCGTTTACTGTCTATGAGGCAATCGAGTGGACATGGAGGCATAAAGTCAAGGGAGAAGCCCATAGATAGAGAGTTCATAAAAGCAACGGGACAAAATATTTCAACAACAGATTTGTTTCAGATTTCAATTCAGATTTGTCTCGGCACAGCTACTAGAAGGTCAGAACGATTGCTCACGTGACAACTACGTCGTCAAGCTCAGTTTGAGCCTGCGCAGAACGCTTGGCTATCAGGAAGTGAGTGTTGGGCTTCAACTCTCTCCGTTGAAATCAACGGGGTCGCTGTGTCCATTTCTTTTACTGTCTATTATGGTCACATTCTATGTCTTCAAGCTAATTAATCAAGGGAAAGGTCCAAAAAACCCTCCAAACAAGTGATTTTACCGAACATGAAGTTCTTGCCACAATAAAAGTAGGCCTACATAGAATAAACAAGTAGTCAAGTACCTTATTTTTCCGAATACAAGACTGTGTTTTTTTTCCTTTGAAATACATCTGAAAACGCGGTGGAGTCATCAAACAACTCTCATTAAGCAGCCAAGAAATACGGTGTATCAGAGCGTAATGTTAGAATATGGTGAGGCCAAAAAAAATGTTTTAAAAATGCTAACAGTGAAATAAAAGCTCACCGCGGTCCTTAAGGCGGCCGCTTCGAGGAGATTGGTGGGCGTGTGTGTCAGTGCGTTGCCAAAGAAAGAAATGGCCGAAGCGGACGCTTTGATGCGGCGTAATGGGATTAGCATTACGCTGGAGAACAAGTCTTGCCCAGCGTTTGCCTTCCGACTTCAGGGAGAAACATGCTGTCTTTAAAGTCCCTGTAAAGTCAAAATTAAGTATGTGTTTTGAGTTTGTCACACCACAGAAAAATTAGTTATTAGTCACCCAGCCAAATTTGAATGATAAAAAAAGCCAGCAAGTACATAAAATAAGCTATCAAAATCTTGAAGAAATGAGCAGTAGTCTCTGCTCTCAAACGCTGGAGGCGTGTCCACTGGCTGCGCTGAAACCACGCCCACTCGCGGGAAAGCTGCCGTCGACTCGCCACACTCAACTCTACAGCCGGAATAGATGCTCGCACGGTGGGCAGTGGGCACGCACTGCCGATGACACCAGTTGTCGGCGCGACGGGAGGATGAAGGCCAGGCGGGAGTCGGTTCGGCCCATTCACCAGTAACAGCGGATTATCAGTGAATCCCTGACAGTTATCTCCGACGAAAGTTTATAAAACTATCCCGTGTAAAATGATCACTTACAGAGGCGGGTGTTGGCGGTGATCCTCAGCTCTCCATCAAGGTGGCTCTTCACAAAATTAATCCACTTCTTCTTGATGTAATCGTTTTTCGGAAATTTAAATAAGGACACCGATCTGTTTTGTACGTGATCCGGTGATCGCATCCAGGTAGTAGGCCTACGCATTTCCGTGACGAAGGCATAGCTAGCTAGCAATCTGTAGGCTGTGTTACTAATAATAGTGCTGACAGTAACTCGCGATTGAGCGGCAAACTGATGTGAATGTGCTCTATATTGTTAGGAGCGGCCAGCCTCAGCGGCTACAGTGCGTCATCAAGTAGGGGCGTGTCCAGGAGCTCAAGGGCTCCAGTGCGTCATCGAGCCCTGTTTTAGCCCCGCCCAGAAAATCCGGAAAATAGCAATGGTGAAAAACTGTTCAACGGTCTAACTCCACAAATCAGTACCTCACAGTTCACAGTCTTTGTAATATGTTTTAGCAACACATTTCTAACATTTATAATGTGTTTAGAATTTTTTTTTGAAATTGCCTTTACAGGGACTTTAAGCGCTACGTGATTGGCCTAAGGAAAAAACTTTCATATGGATCAGATGGGTAATGTCTTATAATCAGGATCGTCTTGTATTCGGAACAATACAATAGATCCTGGTTGATAAGTGATGATCTTCCAGCGCTGTTTCAGCTGTCCGCTCCTAT